TGCGCTCTCTGTGAGGCCCTTCCCAGGGACCACGTCTCTGTTTCTGGAGGTGCCTGTGCAGGAGGCTGCACGGGTGAGAGATCAGACACAGGTGGAGCTGGGAGGGATGCCTCTGACGTCTGCCCACGCACAGCATGCCACAGGTCCCTGGTCGGTGTGCTCAGCAGGAGCCTGGGTCAGCGCGAGCCCGGCATCGATCTGGCAAGGCTGGCTGTCGTTAGAGGGTGATGGTATTAATTAAGCTGCTCTGCCCTTGTCAACTGCAGACAATGGAAGCTGCTAAACCAACTGGAAATCTGGCTGTGGGGATCATGGGCTTTCAGCAATCCTGGGCTAAAGTCTAGTCCCAAAATTTGAGGAGGGTTTGAGTCCTGCAGTTCTTACTGAAACCCTCCAGCTCCTTTCTAGGAGATTTTAGTTGATGTTTTGGTAAACCTTGTTGCTACAAGTTAGCTTTTGAGTCTGGCTCTGGGAGGATTCATCCATCCCAAACCAACCAGGAGCACAGGTAACTTCACTAACACAGCACCTCTGGCTGGCACAATCCAGCCTGCCACACTGGATGGGAGTTCAGGGAGAGGTTCCCTCCGTCCGACTCCCTGGGCGATTTCATGAGCAGGGTGGGAAGAAGGCTCCCCTGAGCACGGCTCTTTGCAGTCAGGCAGAGGAATACAGCATCACATCATGCTTGTTTTCTTGTGTGTTCCTTTTCCAGCCTCTGGATGGGACTGCTGCTGAGCCCACGCTGGCTGGGCTGTTGGAGCTGCTGCAGTGCAGACCCGGGTGTGTTCCCCCTGCTGCCGTGTTCCCGTGGAGTGCTGGGGGAAATGGGCCAGAGCTGAACTTCAGCCGAGCAGGAGCCAGGCTGGAAGTCACAGCCCAGGTGCAGTCAGATGCTAAAACTTAGTGATTTTTTTTCCCCCTTCCTTCCCAGTTTTTATTCTAGCAGCCTAGGTCAGTTTGAGGTTTGCTGTGCTATTTCCCTGCCCAAGTGCTTTCTCCTTTCTCTTGAGCTGCCCCTTTTGCCCAGGGGATCAGGGAAGTTGCTTTCCATTGACAGTGGGAATGAGCAGCTTCATTTGTGTTCATGGCATCCATTGGAAGCTGTCACCTCTAGGCAGTGTCCCTGCAAGACAACAGGCTGAGTATTGGTATGAGGCAGCTCCATCCCAGGGTGCCATTTGTGCTACTGGATTTAAGTTTTTCCCCTCGAGAGACAGGATTCAGTTTGTGGTTTTTCTGCAAGACAACAGGCTGAGTATTGGTACAAGGCAGCTCCATCCCAGGGTGTCATTTTTGCTACTGGATTTAAGTTTTTCCCCTCAAGAGACAGGATTCAGTTTGTGTATTCTTAATAAGAAATTACTATTTAGCCACTGAAGTAGTTTTACAGGTTACTCTTCTTTTTTTCTTTTTATTTGCCACATAACAATGAAGGAATTTTATGGTCCTGTAACCTGCAAACCTCTGGAATGTCTCAAACCCACCATTTGTAATAAAAATGTGGTGATGTTCTGCAAACTCTGGTGGAAAAGTTCTGATTCTGTTTTTTTGTTCTTTAATGTCGCTCAACATTCTAGCCTGGGATGTGCAATTCTCTTAAGTTTTTCTTAGACTCCTTTGGTTCTGAACACTGGAGAGAAAATATCAGGGATATTAATCATATTTAAGAAATATTTATTTAATATTACTCTTCTAAGGTTCCTGTTGCTGTTTAACCTGCCACCTCTCTGAGCCACAGGCTCTGGGGCCGTTGGGAGTGCCCGAGGCTGCTCTGGAGTGTCTCCTGTTAGTCTTTCCCCAAACCCTTCTGCTTCCCCGCGTTTGTGTGCTGATCATCTA